AACTTAATATGTTACTTCCACAGCAAACAGGAGAGGATAAGGACCTCTCCTGAAGTCTCCTACATATCTCAAACTTAAAATGTTTTCATTTCACTAGAATGAGAGAGAATCACACTACCGTGACTGGAACAATACACAAATAACCAGGACCACACACACAAAAGTAGAGAGAGAGGAGATGAGTAGAGAGAGAGAGAGAGAGGAGAGGAGATGAGAGAGAGGAGAGAGGAGAGAGAGTGATAGGAGAGAGAGAGTGAGAAGAGTGGTAGGAGAGGGAGAGAGAGAGAGGAGGACACGAGAGAGAGACAGAGGAGACAGAGAGACAGAGAGACAGAGAGACGAGAGAGAGCAGAGAGACAGACAGAGAGACAGACAGCAGAGAGAGACAGAGAGAGAGGGACAGGAGAGACGAGAGACAGAGAGGGACAGACAGAGACAGAGAAGAGACAGAGAGTGAGACAGAGAGAGACAGGAGAGAGAGACAGAGAGACACAGAAGAGAGACAGAGACAGAAGACAGAGAGTCAGAGACAGAGACAGAAGGACAGAGACAGAGAGGCCAGAGACAGAGAGACAGAGACTGAGAGACAGAGAGAGTGAGGACAGTGACAGAGAGAGAGAGAGAGAGAGAGAGAGAGAGAGAGATGGCGAGAGAGAGAGAGAGAGATGAGAGGACGAGGAGAGAGAGGGGAGAGAGAGAGAGACGAGAGAGAGAGACAGAGAGGAGACAGGAGACAGAGTGTACAGAGACAGAGAGACAGAGGACAGAGAGAGAGGAGACAGAGAGGAGAGAGACCAGAAGAGGAGAGAGACAGAGAGAGAGACAGATGAGACAGGAGAGAGAGACAGAGGGAGAGACAGAGAGACCACAGAGAGAGAAGGAGAGAGAGAGAGGATGAGAGCAGAGATGAGAGAGGAGAAGAGAGGAGTGAGAGAGAGAGAGAGAGAGAGTGAGGACTAATAATGATGGATTCATGTCTGACTGGCCAAGTTGGACTGAACATCATCATAAGCTTCTCTCTTCTGTGTGGGATTCTGTTCATTCACCACGAATGTTGTGGGGCAGGAACATCTAAGTTGTCTGTATTATTAAAGAGCCTCACCTATTGCTTTCTTCAGTTCAATCTGGTAACTTCAGTCTTCTAAGGAAGACCTGTTATACCATCCTGCTATTGTAGTTTTGATGTTGTCTGATCGCTGTTGTATTTCGTCCATTTCTCATGCAATTCTAAAGCATCGTCGACATAAGGTTTTTTGAGTAACCTACAAAAAGAATTTCAATGATGTTTTAGTCACCAACCTATAAGATATTTTTTATTAATATTATTATATTATTATTATTATTATTATTATTATTATTATTATTATTACAACTTATTTAAGGGCAAAGTTCTAAACCCAACATAAAAGTCTAATGTACTTGGCAATGGAAAGTGTGTAACGGGTAGTCAGGTTTAAATCTAGGAATTAAATGCCTTACTATATCTCCAGTACCTTTGATCAAATGCCCTTCCCCAAGGTTTCAAGACACTACACTGAGGGAAAAGCAAACATACAAGTGTGCAAATTATACAGTGCAAACTGCACTGCAGAATAATGTTTCATTGTACAAAAATTGTGCTGACCTGAGAGGCATTCAGCGGAGACTTAATTATTTGCTCAATCATGTTGCAAGCTGCTGATGAGTGTGGGGAAGTAACACTCGATTTCCAAAAAAATGTTGTGCACCTCCCTGCCCAGTGGATGGTTTTGATGATTTGAGACGGTCCACAAACCTGTCAACAGTGAGTACTTTATATACATATGTCCTCGACTTACAAACAACAACTGAGGACCTCCGAACTGAGTATAATATTCATAATGTTCGGAAATCTTCTACTACAAAACACGTCGGGG